TTCTGCACCCACCCGTGGTTACCTCCCCCATAGTCATCCGTAGCAAATTCTTTTGCTGTCCTCGGCTCAGAGCCCCTACTTCAAGTCTCAGCCCTGATCTTGCTTCTTCGTTTTTCTCTCTCAAAAAGCCTCAGAAACAAAGGGAAAATTCCCCTTTATGAAAACCCCCCCAAATTTCGCCCCTCACTTCTCAAAAGTCAAAAAAAAAAAAAAAGGGTCCGTTAAACACCTTCCTCCCCCATTTTTCCCCCAAACTCCCCCTTTTTTCCCTTCCCTGCCCTCTTTTACCGGTTTCCCCCTTTTCACTGGCTCTTTTAAAGTAAAAAGGGGTTAAACCCCCCTCCTCGTACTTTCCCCCTTCCCCCCCTTTGTTCCCCCCCAATTTTTTCCCCTCTTCGGCCCCCTCCCGGGTTTTCCGGCCTCTTCTGCCCCCTTCCCCCGTTCTCCATTTTCCCTCACCCTTCCGCCCCCCCCCCTCCCTTGGTACAGTCCTTTACAGTTTCCAATTTTTTACTCATCCCCCCCCCCTCCCTTTTTTCCAATATTTTTTCTCTCTTACGACGTTCTGAATTCTGAAACACTTGAAGCAATCTCTGAATATTTTTGCAGACCCCCAAAAACCATCAAGGGGAAAAGGGTTTCCACCCCCCCGCTTTTTTCTCTCCCCCTCTACCCCATCTGCCGCAATTCCTTTTTTCACAGCGCACCTTTTCCTTCGCTTTTTAAAAACTTTTTTCCCACTGCCTCCGAGGGGTGATTTTTTCAAACCCTCTAGCCCCGTGGGAAACCCCTTTTCCTGCGGTTTTCGGGGTTCTTTATCATTGCCAATCAGGGCCCTTTTTAAACAGTGGAATTTTCGCGGCCTCAGGGGTAATGGGGGTAAAGCTTCGTTTTTTACTCCCCCTTTTTTTCCCCTTTTGGGTGTTTTTTAAAAGGAAACCCAAAAATTTACACTCTTGTTATCTCCCCCAATCTCAGGCTAAAAATTATTTGATTCTTCAGATCCTTTTCCTGATGGGACCTTTAATGAAAGGGGCCCTTTTCTACACATGATATTTTCCCTACCATCGCTATTTTTTCGTTTTGCGCTCATTACAAGCAGCCCGTATCCACTTGCATAGGTGGGGATACGCTCTGCCTTTATCTCTCTTCCTTCTCCCGGGCATTATCTTTCCCGGGTATTCCCCCCAAGGAAGGTTCCCCTTTTTTTTTGGGGGGGGCTCTTTATTTTGGGAAATTTGGGTTTTGTGCTCCAGTTCCCCCCAATTAAGGCCCCGAATGCCTTTCCCCATCCCCCCCCCCCAGGCCCCTGTTTAAACCCCCGGGTTTTTGCGCTTTCCCCCCCCTTTATTTTAATTTAATTTAAAATTTTCCCGGGTATTGCCTTGTTTCGTCATTAACCCCCACCGATTCTGTTATTGGTGATTTTAATGCCCCCCCCATTTCCTCTAGGGGGGGGTCTCACTGTGAAAAAACCCGTGGCAATTCAGTTAGAGGCTTTTTTTGCCACCCAACCCCCCCCAAAGTTTTAAAAAAGGTACTCACCCCCCATTTTTTGGGTCCTCGGACTCGCACCTCTCTTGCAAACGTCCCAGCTGGGTCTTCCTCCGGGCCCCATTGACTTCACTTGGTCTGGGTTTTTCCGGGGCCCTTTTGACAGCGATCATTTTTCCCAAAAAAATTTTTACTTCCCCTTCATATTCAACCCCCTTTGCATTTCCCCCGCTAGCAAATTTTATCAGGCCCAAAATTTAAAACCCTTTTCTCACACCTAAATTTTTTCAAAAGAGGTTTTTTCCCTTTTTCGTCCCCAACGATAGCCTTTTTCCAAACCCCTTCTTGTCCTCCGGGTTTAACCCCCAGCTTTCATTCTATACCCCCCCAAAATTTTGGGCAGGCATTTTCAGGGAAAAGCATCCTTGGGGTTCCCGTTTTGTGCTCGTGCAGTACGTTTGAAACCCCCGCCCTGGGGGAGGGACCCGGGACAATAGGGAAACCCCAGAGCGGGCTCCTTGAAATTTTAAAAAAGAAGCGGTGCGATCGCCCTCGCCGTGGGCCCCTCCGTGACGTAAACCCACTTTTTTGGCGGTTTTGTCTCCACCATCACCTTGCTTTCCCCCAAAGAGGCAGTTGGGGGAAAGTACGAAAACTGAGTGGTAAATTTTCTCCTGACCCGGCTCCTGGGTTCTGGGGTTTTCCGGGGTTGATTTTAGCAAAACCCACTAGATGTTCCAGTGAAATTGGCAATCATCTGGTCCCTTTTTTCTCCCGGGGGCTCCATCTTTTGCCCCTCGTTTTTTTTTTCCCCAAAATCTGCAGAGAGTTTTGCACCTTTGGGTTTTTTCTCTCAGAGAAGAACGGTTTTAATTGGGGCCTTTTTAAATTCAAGAACTGGGGGCAACACCTTTCAGCTTGTCGATCATGGGGAGCTGGGGCCCCACGGGCTTTTATATTGTATGCTACAAAAATTTACACAGTCAGCCCTTGCAGTCCTATTTCGCCTTTGCAATCTTATTTGCCAAGGAGTTCTTTCCAAGGTGGAAACCCGCCTTTGTTCCCCCTTTTCGCAAACCGGGCACTAGGGGGCTAAAACCCCCACATCGCCCCCATTGTCTTACCGTGCTTTGCAAAGTAGGGAACGTTGGAAAAATAGGTTTAGGTGGTTTTGAGACGCACAACAGTCTCTCCCTCGTCAATAGGCTTTCGTAAGGGACGTTCTACCATGACCCCTTACTGCGCTTGGAACGTATGTTGTGATCCTTTGCAAATGCCACTCAGTTTTTCCCATATTTTTTCTTGGGGGGGCTTTGACACAACTTGGAGTATTATTTACCCCAAGCCCACCCCTTAGGCCCTTTTGGGCAATCTCCTCCTTCCTTTAAGAATTTTTTAAGACGGGCATTTCCGTTTGGGGTTTGATAATGTGCTTCCCGGACTTTGCCCAAGCGGGGGGTGTCCCCCAGGGATGTGTTCTGGCACAGCATTTTTTCTCCTTGCTTTAAATGATTTGGCCTCTGTTTTCCCTAAATATTTGGTATCCTCTATTTATGATTTCGCTGTTCCCTGTGCGGCGCTGACTGTACCTCCCTTACAGATTCTTCCAGCAGGGTTTGGGCCCGTTTTCCCAAATTTGGGGCCCACCCCCGTGGGTTTAAATTTTTTCCAGCACTAAAACCCACCAAATCATTTTCCCTGACGCTCGTCATCTCGTCATCCTTTGTACCTCTATGGGTCACGTATCCCTGAAAGTGATAAGTCGATTTTTGGGCCTCCTCTTTGATCTAGGTTTTCCCGGAAACCCCCACTTTCCCCTCTGAAGGCAACTTGCACGCCGGGTGAACCTTTTAAAAACCCTTGCTCATCTTTCGTGGGGAGCTGATCGTCGAACCCCCCTTCACCTCATTCCCCCCTTATTTTACGAAACTTGATTGTGGTGACCCAACATTCAGCGGCACTCCTGCTACTCTCTCTAGCCCTTTAACCCCTTCTCACCAAGGATTCTTTTTGCCTTGGGGCTTTTTCGCTCTTCCCCCGTCGAAAAACCCCTTGCAGAAGCGAAAGTTCCATTATCCCATCGCCGTGATCCCATTGCCTGCGCTACTAGGGACCTCTATGATCTCCGCAATCCTTCCCTTTTAGAATGGTCACTGAAATTTTTGTAGACATTTTTATTTGTTCCCGCCCCCGCTTACCCGTCCCCTTTTCTCTTCGCCTTCATTCGCTCTTGTCTTCTTCAACTACCACCTTCTATGTACATTTGCATCCATTTTCCCTACCCCCCCGGAAGTTCCAGCTGTTTTGGGCTGTTCTTTTTTCCCCCCCCTTGCTCGAAAGCCCAACTGTTACGGGCGTTTCCCGCCTTTTTTCTTGACCACTTTCACTCTCTTCTCGCCATTGCTGGTCACAGAGGCCTAATCTTCTGAGGGCGTAGGATTCGCAGCGTGTTTCCGGACAGCGTCGTAAAAGGGTTTATATTTCGCTGTATTTTTACTGCTGAATTATAGCCCCCCTTCAGCACTTACCGTATTGCTTTCTATGCCTGTGTTATTTGGGTTGTCCAGCCCCCTTAGTGCTTTACAGGCTTTACAAAAAATTTGATACACCTCCCCCCTTTAGCCCTCCGTACCCAATTTTGGGCTACCCGCATCTTTCCCAAGCAAAAGATATTGTTTTTGTTGGGTCCCTGGTCAGTTGACGTACGGGGAAAATGAACAGGCAGACACGTGCGCGGTCAGCAGTACATGACCTACAGTTTCTTATGAGGTATTCCATGCGGACTATTTTGCTGATATCTTCCCAACTTCACACCCGTTGGCAACAACGTGGTCTACTATGCTCGGCAAACAAACTTCAATCTGTTAAACAGAGTATAGGTTACTGGCCGTCTTCTTATCACCAGTGTCGAGGTTGGGAGACTACTCTCTCCCGTCTTCGCATTGGCCATACTCGTCTTACTCGTGGATATCTCATGGAGAGGCGCCCTGCTCCTCTCTGTGAGAATTGCCAAGTTCCATTATCAGTCAGCCACTTTCTGTTGGACTGCCCACTTTATCAACGAGCACGCAGAATTTACCTCAGTCGTCGTCTTCGCTCTGCTGCTCTCTCTTTACCTTCCCTTCTCGCTGATGGACCCACCTTTCATCCAGACTCTCTCATTGACTTTTTGACAACTGACTGACTTCGCAAATTCTGATACCTTCAGCCCTTTCTACTTCAATCTCTTGCTACCCCCTACCCTCGTACTATCCCCTGCCCCGCTGTTTTCTGTAACCTACTGATCATCCCTCCTCCCTTCTGCCATCCAGTACCCTCGCTTCCTTCCCTACCCTGCAGCGCTGTATAGCCCTTGTGGCTTAACGCTTCTTTTTGATTATAATAATAATAATAGTCATTATAGGTTACCTGTTTTTACTGAAAAATTGTAGTTTGTAGAATGACAAATAGCTTAAACCTAATATCTTAGTTAAAAAAGCTTATTTAACATTCTTACTACCTTTCAGGACTTGCCAGTCAGTTACCAAATGTGAGTGGTGGTGGTGGTCCTGGTTATCCATCTCAACATGGTAGCTCAGGGCAGACTGGTCCAGGTATGGTACCTCCACAGATGGCTAGCCAACCCACACTGCAAACTTCGGGTCCAGTTCCTGGTGTGCAGGACGACTTGAGTGGTGGAGCCCCACAAATGCCACCACCACCCAATAAACCACCAACACCACAAGATCAACAAGCAGAGCTGATTTCTTTTGACTAAATGTTTTGTTTAGAGTTATAATCCTTACTCAACTTCTATGTTGCAGACTAGTTGTCAGAATGATGGAATATGTTTATTGCTTGTAATATAATTACTGTAATGATTTAAAATTCAACAGTACATATTCATTTAATCTGCTAGAGAAGGTTGTATCAATTAACATGGCTTACAGTTTCCTAGATGTAGCCCCCCCAAACATGCAATTAATTGGAAACTTAACTTCTAATGTACAATGTTAAGCAATCCAGTTAATATAACCTAACAAAATTATGAACATATGCTGTACTTGCATATTTAATACAAGTGCAGTGTGTGGAATGACAAATTGTGATGGTCTAGCTAGTGCATTTCTCTTATGGTAAGAGAATAACTATCAGGTCTTGCTTAATTACTTAAAAATCTATCTCTTATTTGAAAATATATTTGGCCAAGATGGCCTTTTGTTACTGTATTAAGAATGTAACTTGACAAACTACTTATACCATATAACTGGGCGATGCAACTTTTTGATTAGGATTGAATTTACTGAAACATATACTGTATCTGTAATTTATCCACTCAAATCTTTCTATATTAATTTTGGGAATATAATGTGTATACAAAGTTAACACTAGTAATTTCTTTAACCCCCCCTTTCTTTTTTTTAACATTCCCTGTTAATTTTAAGTATTTTGATGGGCAGATACCTATGGAATAAACACTACCAAAGAGCATCACTTTCTAAAAGGATGGCAAAGATATATGTACTACTAAACAATTTTGATTACTCAACTTGAAGTGGCACATGGAAAATATAAGGTACATTATTAATGAATGTAAGCACTAAATGGAAGGTAGAATATTAAAATCACAGGTATAAACCTATAAGGGTAATACAGTGCCTGGGAAATAAAAGGTAATTGTTTAGACTAAGGAAATATCAATAAGAGCTAAACCTGTGAGGGTCAAAGTACTGTGAGCTAAGGAAAATAGAATTTTGAATATAGTAAAGAGGGATGCAATAGTGATTCTAGTTATTAACTATACTGTAATTATATGCATGAGGGAAGTATTAAACTTTTAAGGGTTGTATAACCCCTAGGAAATGTCAGGTAATCAAGTCTGATCTGAAGGGGGAGGTTAGTTTTCATTTCAGGGGCAAAGAACTTTTCACCAGACTCGAGTGACCTCCCTTGATTAAGTAACATAGTGCTTGGGGAATGGAAGTAAATCAGGTTTAATCTAAGGGAAGCGTTGCTAAAATTACTTGGTTATACTTTTGTATATATTCATTCAATTGCTGTCTTGCCAGAATTGTGCTGACATCACAATTCTGATTACCCCCCTGATTGTAACGTCTCCACCTCTCCTTCAGAGTGCAGACACTGCCCTTCCCATCTCCAGGACTAAAGTCTAGCTAAACAGTTTTCTTCAAATGCTACTTCTCTCTCTCTAGGAAAGACAAGGGAGGAGTTGCACTGCTCACTAAAAACTGATGGGAATTTAAGGAAATGGAAGGAATGGGTGAAAAAGACTATATAGTAGGTAAAATTCAGTCTGGGGGACCTAAGGTAGTCATTGCAGTTATGTACAACTCGCCACAGAACTGCAGGAGGCCAAAAGAAGAATATGAAGAGAGCAATTGAGCAACGGTGGATACACTAGTTGAGGTGGCCAGAAGAGCTCACACAGGTAGAGCAGTTACTAGTTATGGGTGATTTTAATCACATTGGGAAAACCTGGAGCCACATGGGGGGTCCCAAAACATGGAAAACCAAGATGATGGTTGTGGTACTGGAAAACCTCATGCATCAACATGTTTAGGACACTACCAGAGAGAGGCGAGGATGAACCAGCAAGACTGAGTAGGTTGGATATCGAGGACATCATGTATGAAAGGCCCCCTCTATGCTAGTGATCACGTGGTTCTGAGCTTGGCATATATAGTAGTTGCAAGTGAAGAGGGTAACAGAGTAGGATGGGAAAAGCCAAACTACAAAAGGGGGGACTATACAAGCATGAGGAACTTCCTGCAGGAGGTTCAGTGGAAAAGAGAATTGGTAGGAAAATCAGTAAACAAAATGGACTACCTGACTAAATGCAAGGAGGCAGAGGAAAGGTTTGTTGGTTTACCCAAGGGTGTAGGGAGGCAAAAACAAAGTGAGCTAGAGAATGGAAAAAGTACAGAAGACAAAGGACCCAGGAAAATAAAAAAGATTAATCAGAGAGCCAGAAACAAGTATGCACAGATAAGTTAGGAGGCCCAGTGACAGTAAAAAAAATGACATAGCATCAAAAGTCAAGCCTGGCCCAAAGCTGTTGTATGGTCACATCGGGAGGAAGACATCAGTCAAGGTGGGGAGCTCACAAGAAACTACCAAGTATGTGAGGAGCTCAACATGAAATTTAAGGAAGTATTTACAGTGGAGACAGAAAGGACTCTGGGAAGTCAGATTAGGGGGGTATACACCAACAAGGGATATGCCAACAAGTGCTGGATGAAATGCACACAACCGAGGAGAAGCTGCTGCTAAGTGAACTTGATACCTCAAAGGCAGTGGGACTGGGCATCTCTCCGTGGGTTATTAGAGAGGGAGCAGAGACGCTCTGTGTGCCACTAACAAAATTTTCAACACATCCATTGAAACTGGGCAATTACCCGAGGTATGGAAAACAGCAAATGTAGTTCACATTTTTAAGGAGGCACACGAAGCACTAAACTACAAACCAGTGTCACTGACGTGTATAATATGCAAAGTCATGGAGATTATTATTGGAAGGAGAGTGGTGGAACATCTAGAATGGAACAAGCTTATAAACGACTACCAGTATGAATTCAGGAAAGGAAAACTGTCACAAACCTACTGGAATTTTATGACAATACAATGGAAGTAAGACTTAAGAGAGGGGTGGGTAGACTGCACTTTCTCGGACTACAAGAAGGCCTTTGACATAGCTCCTCACAAGAGATTAGTGCAAAAGCTAGACAATCAAGCACATAACAGGAAGGGCACTGCAGTGGATCAGAGAATACCTGACAGGGAGGCAACAATGAGTCATGTTACGTGATGAGGTGTCAGAGTGGGCACCTGTGACAAGCGGGGTTCCACAGGGGGTCAGTCCTAGGACCAGTGCTATTTTTGGTATATTGGAATGACATGGAAGGGAGACTCAGAAGTGTCCCTGTTTACAGATGTGAAGTTAATGAGGAGAATTAAATTGGATGAGGATCAGGCAGGACTACAGACTTAGGCTGGAAGACTGGTTCAGCAACTGACTCCTCGAATTTAACCCCGCCAAATACAAAGTAATGAAGATCGGGGAAGGGCAAAGAAGACCACAGAGTATAGGCTAGGTGGTCAAAGCCTGCAAACCTCACTCAAGGAAAAGGATCTTGGGATGAGTATAATACCAAGCACATCTCCTGAGGTGCACATCAACCAGATAACTGCTGCAGCATATGGGCACCTGAGAATAGCATTCCAATACTTCAGTAAGTAATCATTCAAGATTCTGTACACCGTGTACGTCATGCCCATACTGGAGTATGCAGCACCAGTTTCGAACTCACACCTGGTCAAGCACATCAGAAAATTAGAGAAAGTGCAAAGGTTTGCAATAAGACTAGTTGCTAAGGTTAAAGGTAATGAGCTTGACAACACTGGAGGACAGGAGGGTTAGGGGAGACATGATGACATACAAAATACTAAGGAATTGACAAGGTGGACAGAGACAGGATGTTCCAGAGATGGGCACAAAAACAAGGTGTCGCAATTGGAAGCTGAAGACTCAGACGAGTCAAAGGGATGTTAGAAAGTGTTAGGAGTTGTCAGGAAGTGGAATAGTCTGGCAAGTGATACAGTGGAGGCAGGAACCATACATGGTTTTAAGACGAGATTTGATAAAGCTCATGGAGCAGAGAGAGAGGACCTAGTAGCCATCAGTGAAGAGGCAAGGCCAGGAGCTATGAATTGACCCCTGCAACCACAAATAGGTGAGTACTTACACTCTAATAGCACATCCATTAAAAACCACTCTTCTCCATTCGCTCCTATCTAACACGCTCACACAAGCGACAACCCTATCTCTGCTTTCCACCTCACCCGATTTATACTCCCCACCAATCATCCTATAACTTGCCATCCTTTCTAAATGCTCAACCACCTCAGCCCTTGGAATCACCCTTAGTGACTACAGCATCTTATTTCTATGCCCCAAATCTTATGCATAACATTCACACCACACATTGTTCTCAAACATGACATCTTCACTACCTCTAGAATCCTTCCTGTTGCAAAGTTTAAAGCTCATGCTTCACACCCACATAAATGTTGGTACAAGTACCACTTTACTCGGGGTACCTTCTTTTGACTCCACAGGTAAACTGTTCTTTCTGTGGATGCCGCAACACACCACCTGCCCTGTCCACTCAAATCTTTAATTATATCCACTACCTCTCTCCAATCTCATATTCAATCTGTCATTGCCTAGACTGTTTTGTTACCCATAGCACTTTGCCATGGCTACTTTTACATACCCTCCCAAATTTGTCCACTAATCTTTGCAATAGAATTTCCAAAAAAGAACTGTTACTGGCAAAGAGTAACTGTGACAGCTCTCACTGTGTCAAATTAAATATTTTGTGTCAAGTAAAAGGACACAAGTGCAACTAATGCGACATTTTATTGTGGCAATGTTTCGCAAATATAGTTCGATTCAGTAGTTCCCCTGTATCCACAGGGGATACGTTCCAAAACCTACCGTGGATACCCAAAACAGTGGATAGTAATGAACCATATAATTATATACATACATAGTATATACAGTGGTACCCTGAGTTTCGAACTTAATCTGTTCCGGGAGCTAGTTCTAAAGTTGAAACGTTCGAAACTCGAAGCAGTATTTCCCATGAGAAATAATGTAAATCCAATTAATTCGTTCCTGCTGTCAGGAGGCATGACAAAATAGTACAGTGGAACCTTGACTTACGAGTTTAATCTGTTCCAGGAGCCAGCTCGTAACTCAATTTACACATATCAAATTAATTTTCCTCATTTAAATAAATTGAAAAGCCATTAATTCATTCCTGGACTCTGGAGAGATGAGAAAAAATACTCTAATATGATGCTATTATCAACTGTACAACTTATTTATCTATCACAATTCATCTGACAATGAACAATATAATTAACACAGAAACATGAAATATATTCTAGAATGAATAAAATAGGCCATGATATGGTGGCAGAGGCAGCGGCAGAAGAGTCCCCCATTTCTGTCCCAATTTAACGGAGTATTTTTGAGGCCAATTGCAGTAGATCACCAGTTTTCTAAGGAAAATATCATTTAAAAACTTTATATAAAGTGTTATACATGTATGTACAACACAATTGGAGCAGAGATGGTGGGGGAGGTTGAGGATGGGGGAGGTTGAGGGTGCAGCGTATGATGTATTGCCTGGTTAAGTCCATGGAAATCGTCTTTTTCTTCTCAGCACTGTTCTTTGCACTTATTTTCTTAGGACCCATGGTTAGAAAAAAGAAATTTGGCCAAATGACTAAAAAATGCAAATAAGCACGAGAGAACTGCTTCCATAGCGATGTAAACGTGTACGATGTTGGCATCAGCA